TCTCCTTGCCCCCTGGGCATTGCCCTCTCTATTCCCTAGTGAGCTATGTAACCCCTCCCCAAAAATGACTCTCGGCATTATCTCACCTTTCTTTAGTTTTTTGTCAATGAAAATATGAGCATTTTGTTCCTTGCAAAAGAACTACAACAACACACTCCACGACTCTAACACTGGAATATCATTGTACTACATCAATGTCTTCGTCCAACGGTAACAACAGCACCCGTTTTGATATTGAGAGCATTGGATTAAGTCGGATGTTCTCCATAATCACGATACATTCACGTTCGCCAAAAGAGGCGATTTTGCGTCTCCCAAATAAACTACCCTTGGATGTTATTGTAGAGATTAAAGGATAATTGGGTTTTTCGATTGTTTTAGTGAGATTGTTGCAATAGTTGTATTTTTTTCTCGGAATGCAATGCTTATTTTTATTTTCACACGGACTTAATGCATATATTGTTTGATTGATGCGACAGAAACAATCATTCAAAATGAATGGTTGTACAATCTTAACTTTTAGCTATGGTTTTTGTGATTGTTCAATTGAGATTGTTATTTCTTTTTTGTTTCAATTCTATCCTTTAAAATATACTTTTTGCATTGAAAAGAAGGCGTATGACATTCCCATTAAAATTTAACTTTTACTTTTAATTATTGAAAACACAACCACATATATCAAAGATTATAATTTATAATATATTAAATTCATCAATACATGTCTTGACAATAACACATCAATTAAAAGATTTAATAAGCCAATCAACCCCTAAAATCCTCAAATAGCAGCGGCTTTACATTTTTTTTTCATGCGAGGTCAAAGCCAAGAATGGAGATGTTATACCATATTACCATGGTGAGTTAACACGCTCATACATATCATATGGGATAGCCAAGATCGAGCTTCAAAAGTCATTTCATGGCTCTAATCCCTTCACAGCATCTATGTGTAATGTTATTGTTAACCAACCAATATTGACTCTTAAGGCTTGTTATAAGAATCAAACCGAATCACTGGGCTAGTAGAATCGCCAAAACAGTTACGAGAACGGTCTGGTTCATTGCTTGGAGAGTTATTGGTGGATCAAACGGTTTTTCACGGTTCAATATAAAATCAGATGAACTACCACAGTTTAACTGGTCCACTATTTTAACCACAATGTTTTTTAGAAAATACTTTAACATAAACTAGGGCAGTCAAACCGTCATTATTAATTTTATAACTACTTCCTCTTCTCATTTTCTAACTTTGTTGTCGACTTTCCGTGGGCCACTACCGGTTGGCATCGTAATTAATTTGAATTGAAAAAATTATGATTTCTTTTGTGAAATGGTTTGAATATTTATTAGATATTTGGGTGATAATATGAAAATAAAATTGTTTATAGTAAATGATAACTTTATTCTTAAATTAATATAATACACAAGTCTTGTATGTTATATATCGTGAACGGTTCTACCACAATTAACTAACGATTTTGTTACGGTTAACCATTAAATCCTAAACCACTAACTTTTCTGGTTCAACATCCGATCCGGTTCTGAAAACAGAGCTCTTAAGCTACCTTTACCCCAATACTGGTGAGAATGATTGAGGGAAAAGGACAAAATTCGGTGAAATATATTACTCATTTCACTAGCAGCAGAGCTGCGATTTATATACACAAAGATATAGGACAAACGACCTCTAACGACCTTGTCCAAAGAACAAAGGACAAGTGTCATTTTACTACTGATTTACAACTAAATAAATTAAAATAATTTTTATATATTATTAATAACTAAAAAAATGGTGTGTTTCCGCTTGTGTATTGGATCGGTTGAATGGGGTTGGATTTGGTTGCTCATTGTTCATTCTGCTTCAACTAGAGCTATTTTCCTTCTTTTCGTCCTTCACTGATTTGCCCATTATGTTCAAAAACTCTCACAAGCTGGTAAGTATATGTTGTACACTCTCGCTTGAATATAACCAATTTGAAGCATTGTGTGCTCAATCCATTTGTAGATATGTCGGCTAGATTGCAATCGGTATACACATAATTCAAATCTATCAATATGTATTTACTCTTTCTCTTATAACATGACAGTCTATCTAAATATGTTTTATTCTCTCGTGAAAAACCAAACTTTCTGCCATGTTTACTACATATTTGTTTTCACGTTGGATGGTAGCTGGACCCTCATATTCAGCATCCAAGTACTTCGGTAAATGTGTAATCCATTGAAGTTCACACGACAATTGAAACAAAGCTACATTCTTAAAAACTTAGAGACAATTGCTTGCTTTTTGGCTTTCCAAGTGATGAGTGAACTCCAAGAAAGATACAATATCCAGTAATCGACTTTTTTCTGCTTGAGCAAGCTCCTAGTCTGAATCACAATCCTAACCATCAAGGATTTGATCACAATCCTTTGATTGCTTGGCCAAATTTTTTTTAGATAAATATGTAGGGCCCATGGATTTGAAGTTTTTTTTCTCAAAATCCATGGGTCTCATAGATTTATAATCTCACATGATAACTTGGGATTTTAATGGAGTTGGACGGAAACTAACGGGAGAGTGACTAAATGTGACTTGTTTCAGTAATTCGCGTGATTAAATGTGACATGTTTCAGTAATTCGAGTGACCGGAGGTGGACAGAGGCTAACGGGAGAGTGACTAAATGTGATATGTTTCAGTAATTCGAGTGACCAAAATTGATATTAAGTTTTTCTAGTGACTAAACATGACACGATTTAGTAATCTCAGTGACCAAATGTGTCATTTACCCCAAGTAATACCTTTCAGCCGCACACATTTCTAGTTATGTTAAATCATGAGTCTAACAAACAAATTTTAGCTGTAGCTATGAATCGCATTTGTTGTGTCAACAATGATTCTAACAAACAAATTTTAGCCATAAATTGTAAGATTATAACTATATATTGTTATTAACTACACATTTTAAAGTCCTGTGACTAATAATTTTATGAGCATGGTATAAGAAGTCAATCTCGAAGCACAAATTAGCAATATGACCACAAAGTATAAAACTAGAAACACAAATAAAGTTATAAAACTAATAAGAAGAAGGGCAATAACTAATATACATTTTAAAGATATAAATCTATAATACAACAATTCAGAATCAAATTAACTAGGAAACAATGTAATCTTTCAAATCTATTATACAACGAAATCTCTAACCAATCAAAAGATTTTAGAAACTCAAGTTCTAACCAAAATCCTAATTTTGAACTTCAATGGTAAAATACCTCGGATACCACTTAAGTTTCAGAATTGGGGCAGACATACCACTTAAGTTTGAATAGGGCGCGGGTACCACTGAACTCTATTATTTGTGCACCCGGTACCACTTAAGTTTAATGTTTAGTGCATTCCGTTAAAGTTAACAGAATATTCTTGGAATATTTTGTTTTCTAAATTTCTTAATTAGTCCTTTTACTTTTCTTATTGTAAAAAATCATTTTGACTTATGAAAAACATCAATTTTTATTATTTAATTGGTATCCTCTTTTGAAAACTTGATACCAAATTAATTTTTAAATAGAAAATTTAAAATCAATTATTATTATAAGTATTTTTAATTATCATTATGTTTTCTAATAATTGATTTTTTTTAAAGATTTTGATACCAAACCAATTTTTGAATAGGAAATGTAGAATCAATTATCATTATAAGTACTTTAAATTACAATTATGTGTTATAATAATCGAATAATTTGCTTAAGCAAATATATCATATGAATTCTATATCGATATAAATAATATGAGGATGCTATATTTAATTCTCATACATCATCTGGATGTTGTATAATTTTCTTGGTTACTTCGTTCTAAATTTTCTTCAATTACTGTAATATGTTTATTTCTTTCTAACTATGTTCCATTTATCATTCTTTGGTCTTGATGTATTGATGATCGATTAGATTCTATTTTAACTATTTTTAATGGTACTTCTTATCGGATTAGTGATTTAAATAGATCTTCTAATATTGATTTTAATGATTTATTATTATATTCTATATATTTATTATTCTTCTTGATATTTGTTTATTATTTTTACTAACACATCTATTTTATTGAAAATTTTGATTAGTCATTTTAGTAATGTTATGTTTAGAAGGTTTTTAAATTTCTATATTAGATAAAAACTTGTCGAAATATAGTTTTGGATATTTTTAAAAGTTTTGGGTACCAAAAAGTAATGAAAATGTTGGGTTGGATGGAAAACTAGACGGATGTACATTTTGGTGACTTTAATGATAACCGACACCCTATTCAAAATTAAGTGGTATGTCTGGCCCAATTCTCAAACTTAACTGGTACCAGAAGTATTTTCCCCGAACTCCAACAAGCAAATGAAGCATGGTTGTCACGCCGGCCGGCGTGCCACCGGTTGTACCGGGTTCAACCGTAACCGGTCATAAAACCGGCGCGACACCACCGGTATGACCGGCATGAGCGATATACAAATCTCTAAGTAAAATGACCTTATTTTAGAGAATTTAATTGATAAAAATTAGTTTATTATTTATTTTATGAGTATAAAAGTTAAATATTGATGTTATTTGTTGGATTCAAATATAAATGTTTAGGTATTGACGTTAAATGTCATGTTTAAATATGAGTATTTATAATTTTATTTGTAATATTGACCGGCACAAACCGGTATGTACCACCGGTTGAACCATTTCACTTGCTAAACCGGCACACTGGCATAAACCGGTTTGACAACCTTAATGAAGCCATTTTGTTTATAAATGTAATAATCTCCTTGCAGTAAAAAATAAGAAGGAAACCCTCAAGGGTACGATCGTCAAAGCGTTGAAGAGAGGGCAGCGGGGTAATTATCGAAAAGATTTGAATTCAGCGAAGGACGGTCTGTCATGCACGCTGCCGGATGCAAAACAAAAAGTAATGAAAGCAAATAAAGAAAGAATAAAAAGGAAATCCCGATCGCATTCATTCATAACGACACCGAGCCCCAAAATACCGCGCTTTTAATACATAACCGATGCACTCCAAAAAATTCAAACCCTAAAACCCAATCACTTCACTGTTCTCTGCAGATTCTGTACTCCTACGATCAAGGAAAACTTCTCCTGTTTCAAAATTTCCGCCAAGTTCCAATCTTTTTCTCACTTTCGTCTGTCGGAATCGGTTGCCGGGCTTTAGCCGGTGGAGAACGGGCCTGAGTCAACGAGAAGAGGGAGATAGTAGAACCTATAGACGGAGTTAAACCTGGAAAAAGGTTATTGAGAAGGTGGGTTTTCATAAATTCATTCTCTTTTTTCTCGTGTCCTGTAATTTATTGTTGTAAAGGACAAATCTGAGATACCCACTTCTTCCATTGTGTTCTTGGGTGTACTTTTTTTGGGTTGAGAATGGTGAGTTTGGCCACTTAACTTTCTTGGTCCAATTTGGGTTTTATCAATTGTGGGGTTTCTGTTGTTTCCTTGGTACGCTTTTGTCGATGTTTGAAGCTTGTAGTTGATTTCAAACCGCTTTATGGCAGGTTTGTTGATTATGTTTCTTTTGGGATCCAGGTCCGGCAATGGGTGGTAGAAATCTGAGTCCAATATTAAAGAGAGAGTTAGCAAATCTTGACAAAGATGCTGATAGTAGGAAATCAGCAATGAAGGCGTTGAAATCCTACGTCAAAGAGATGGATTCAAGGGCAATCCCGCTGTTTCTCGCCCAAGTTTCGGAGACCAAAGAAACTGGTTCCTTATCTGGAGAATACACCATCTCCCTGTATGAAGTCCTTGCCCGTGTCCATGGACCCAAAATTGTCCCTCTCATAGACACAATCATGACCACAGTCATCAACACACTTTCAGCAAGTGGAGTGTCTTTCCCTCTCCAACAAGCCTGCTCGAAAGTGGTCCCTGCAATCGCTCGATATGGAATTGAACCAGGAACCCCTGAGGACGAAAAGAGGCGCATAATCCATTCACTCTGCAAGCCACTTGTTGAAGCTCTTTTGGCCACTCAGGAGTGTCTCAGTTCAGGGGCTGCACTTTGCTTGAAGACGCTTGTGGACTGCGACAACTGGAGATTCGCCTCTGATGAGATGGTGAACAAAGTTTGCCAGAATGTTGCTGTTGCTCTTGAGGAGAAGTCGATTCAGTCGAATTCTCATATGGCATTGGTTATGTCTTTGTCGAAGCGTAATGCTTTGATAGTCGAAGCTTATGCTAGATTGTTGATTCAATCAGGATTAAGAATCCTGAATATTGATGGTTCTCAGGATTGTGGTAGTAATTCACAGAAGAGGCTCTCAGCAATTCAGATGGTGAATTTCATGATGAAGTGTTTGGATTCTAGAAGCATAGTCTCGACCCTTGGATTGATCATGGAGGAGATGGAGAAGTGTCAATTTGATCAGATGGCTTATGTGAAAGGAGCTGCTTTTGAAGCTTTGCAGACTGCTAAGAAGATTTCGGATGAAGGGTTGAAGTTGGACAAGAGTTCTGGTTCTGGTTCTGTCACAGGGTCTGATAGCTTTAGCAGGAGAGATCAGAGAAGAATGGGGAATTTTTCTAGTACCCCGGAATCTCAGACGCTTGCCTCGTTTATGGATTATGAATCAATGATTGATTCGCCTCTATCCAGAACTCCCATTTCTCGTGCTGTGGAGAATGACTGTGATGGGAATGAGTTTGACCAGAAGAGTGTGACTCGTAAATTATGGAGTCATGAAAATGGAGGAGTTGATGTGTCTCTGAAAGATGGTTTGTTTACAGAACTTGCTCATGGAGGTAATACCATCAAGAATTCCTCTTTTGGTCATGCTAGACGACATAGCTCGACTGAGAATGGAGATCATCATGAAGGGGAGTTTTCAGGCTTCATGCCAAAGACTCCACAAAATGCAGTTGCCAGGAGCTGCACTCCAAGCCCCCAGGTAATTTGTTGTGCACATAACTTCACAGTTTCTTCATGTGTTTTAGTGTTTTACACTTGCTAATGCCTCAAATTACTAAAATAGTTTTTTAGAATTACGACTAATTCCTTTGTGACTGAACTTCAACAGCTAAATATGTTCGGAACTTTTTGATATGACTGTTTGATTGCTTTCGAGTTCTAATCCACATTAATGTTCGTCAATATCATTCAGATGTCACGTTCTCACCTGAATGTTGACAACATCAACATGTTCACGAGCCCAAGGAAGCTCATACGCTCCCTCCAAGATGTTGATTCAGAATCCTACTCAAGACAAAGCAGGAGTTTCAAGAGTCACTGTTCATGCCAATATGAAAACAGGCCAACTTCAAAGCTCAACCAAAATGGTTTTCTCCGCCACAATGGTTATGCGTCTGCTGAGAATGGAGAGTCGCACGCTGGTGGTGAGGGAATGTATCAGGATGTCGTTGCAACTTCAAAGCTCAACCAAAATGGGTTTCCTCGCCATAACAATGGTTATGCATCTGATGAGAATGGAGAGTCGTATGCTGGTGGCGAGGAGATGTATCAGGATGTCGATGAATCGGTGTCTTCAACAGAGGATGTCCCTCCTGTAGATGCAGATCAAGTTGCAGACCTGGTGGTTACAGAGAAGAAAACTAACATGGAAAGTGATTACTTTGAGAACGGATACCAGAACAAGAAGAACAGTTGTGGATGGCTTGTTGCTTTTGGTTTTGCTGTGTTCTCAGGTTTGGCATCGTTGGCGATGTTGTTTGATGGTTCTGAACAAGGCCATTTTCTTCCTCCAACCTAGGTGTTAATTTGTGTCAATCCCTGTACTCAGTTTTTGCTTCTGGTTGTCGATGTTGTTGTAGTCTCAGTTGTGTAACGATATGTCCTTCGGTTTAAACCATTTTCCAGCCTTTTCTAGTTGGATATTGTTTATTATGCGTAAGAGCATCCACATTGGTATTGCATTCTCAATTGCAAAATGACATGGTATAGGCGTTTGCAATTGCAAAACCAATTGCATTGATGTGGCTACCAATTGCATATTTGCAAGCTTGCAACAAATACAATTGCATATGCAAGTAAAAAAAGCCTAAAAAATGGGGATTTTTTATTTTTTGTTATTTTCTTTTCTCTTTTACTTAATTTTCTATAATTTAAGTATCATTTAATTACATTTGCAATTGCAAGATAATTGCATTGATGTAGGTGAATGAAATGTATGTGATGTGGATTGCAAAAATTTTGAGTTGACAATAAAAACACATACAATTTCTTTTGCAATTGCATTGATGGAGATGCTCTAACAGGTGAAGATTCCTTTGTTTCTTGCCGCACCATTCTATTTTCAAGGTTCTGTTTTGGCTAAATTACATGTTTAATCACTCAAATTACATAAGTCTTTCACTTTTGCCACTCGAATTACTTTTATTTCTTATTCGCCACTAACTTTACGAATCATTTCATCGTTAGTCACTAGCCGTTAGTCTCTGTCAGATTCCGCCAATTTTTTTATGATGTGGCAAATAGAACTACTTACTGGACCGTTAACTTAATGACATGTCAATTTTTTTAAAAAAAATAAAAGACAAAATCAAGCAGAGGAGTGGCCCACCTTCCCCTTCCCCTCCGAAACCCCTTATCCCAAGCCCGCCCACGGGCCACCGCCGCCGCCACAACCAACCGCAACCAACGCTTACTCCCCCGTTAATCCTTTGTCGATTCGCCATCGAATCCAAAGCCGGAACAGATCACGATGTCGAATGCAACGACGAGGAAGTCACGATGAAGCAGCTGAAGGCGGGGAGTAGGGGATCTTCTCCGGTAGGGAAGATAACTACGGCGATGATGAACAAAAAATCGATTTCCTTTTCTAATTCAATCTTAACCTCAAACTCTCTTCCATCTTTTTGGTGTGACGAATCTTGTATGTGTTCCTAAAAAAAGGAATTTGTCCATTTTTCGGGGTCTTCTCTTACCCTCTCTTTCAATTCCATTTCTTGCAATGATGTCAGCTGCGGCGACGGTTCAAGAAGAGGAGGAAAGTTTAAATCCAATGAAAGACCATACATATCTCGATTCCCACATGGCAATGAACGTTCTTGATGCAGTGGTCTTCAAAACTAACAAAAAATAAAGAACCATTTTGCTCCAATTTTTCTCTTTCCCGTTTTTTGCCATCTGATTGGTCCCTGACGTAGAGGTATCACCCCGCATCTGGCGGCGGTGGGCTGGCTAGGATGATGGTTCAGCAGAGCAGGGAGTCGGGTCCTAATCGGGCTGTGAGAAGCGTTGAGACCCGACCCGAACGGGAGAGACACTTCACACTTGTGACAGCTCTACGAGAGCGACATCGTTTCGTTAGTTTGATAATTTTTTATTTTTTTATGTTTTGTTTAAATTGACATGTCATTAATTTAACGGTCCAGTCAGCAGTTCCGTTTGCCACATCATAAAAAAACTGAAGGAGTTAACGGAGTCTAACAGTCGGTGACTAACGGTGAAATGATTCGTAAAGTTAGTGGCGAATAAGAAAGAAAAGTAATTCGGGTGGCAAACGTGAAAGATTTATGTAATGTGAGTGACCAAACATGTAATTTAGCCGTTCTGTTTTTCCCCGCGTGGGTTTAGTGTCCCAAACCGTAGTAGCGTGGGGCAGGCATGTGTATTGAGATACTTGTCCCAGCCCGATTTATTACCATCACTAGTCAGGGCAGGTTGGGTTAATGAGAGGTATCCATGTCCGCCCGTCCCAAACCAGACCAAAAAGATTGGGTAAAGTAGGTTATGTCAAAATTGCCATACCTACCAACGATCCAGACCCCTTCACTCTAAGAATCTGAACACTTGAAACACGCTGGTGCCGTTGAAAAATATCTTCCATCTAGTTCGAACGAGGGCATAGCCCGGATTTTACTTAACGTGGATCTAGTATGCTCTTAAATGGGTGGGTGAGGGCTCTTTCATATTTTGATTTGATTTAGGGGAAGTCGACAATGAATTAAGTATTGAGAATTTGGAATAAACAATTTAGAGATAGGTTGTATCTTATGGTAGCTAAGTTTTGTTTATATTATACAAAAGGTAAATATGAATCAAAATATTCCTTGTAGGTTTTAGGTAAACATTTGAAGTCCGCTATCTGGTTTAGTTATGTTGGATTCGATTCGTCTGAGACCAATGGCGGACCCAGAAATTTTTTATAGGGGTGTCCTCTTTTAAAAAATAAATTAAATAAAAAAATAATTAATAAAAATAAAATTGTAAATATGAAAACACCTTGTACAGGTTAAAAAAGTTCATGATGTGTTTTCATATTCGAAAATAATTGTAGAATACACTTGGTGTCTATAGTGTTAAAAAAATTGTCTCTATATACACTACTAGACAATCATTCACGAACTTATCGCATATTCGAGTTGTAAACTTGTTCTTGATGTAACCCAAAGCTGAAAGACTCTTTCAACACTTGCCGTACAATCATAAAATCAATACAAATTAAGGGTAGTTTGAAATTAGTTTAATTGTTAGGTTTTTAAAATAATTAGAGATATGGAATGTCATTTTACTATTACACATTGTTCAAAATCGAACAACAAATGAGTTTAGCTCAATGGAAATTAAGTTTATTAATAATAATAGTGTTTTAGATTTGAATTATCTAACCTACCACTTTTATTCCTATACACAAATGACAGTAGGATAATCATTTTTTCAAATTAAAAGGGTGTTCTTCACTATCAATTATAGTTTTTTGTTCATACATAAATTACCACCGGGGGTTGGATAATCGTTTTCCCAAAATTTAGGGGTGTCCGGTACACCCTAAACCCTCCTGGGTCCGCCCCTGTCTGAGACAGTTTGCAAATTGCAACTACTCATGTTTTGGATTCTAGCAGAGATTCAATAGGTTATGGAACTCACCCAATTGAACGTTGGCTCCGCCCCTTGCCCGAACCCATTTGAAATCCGAGTTGCCTCATAGAGGTTGAAGATATGCCACACCCAAAATGATCATTAGATCTTTGGAATAGTTGTTTGATTATTTTTCAAAGATTAGGGTTATGTAAATGCTGACAGCCTCTCCAAACTTGTCCAGGAGCAAGAGCCAGAGGGTTGAGCATGGCAGATTGTCCCACACATATGTAAGAATACATCCCATAGCTCTCATGGCTTGACCCTGGACTGTACATATACATCTCATTGAACCCTTCCCTGCCAATCACCACTGAGTTCCTTCTCCCCTGCAACAAGCACCCAAAAACATAGAAAGATTTCTTACCAAGCACTCATCAACCAGGATTCAATCTGTGAAAGCGAAAAACCAAAGTTTCAGCTTCAGGGTTACCCTGTCAATGAGGGTGAAGTTCCTTGGTGCATTGGTGTAAACCCTGCACATTTGTTCAGTAAGTTTCTTGTGGCTGTCACTTTCTTCACCTTCCATTCCTTCTTCCTCTTCTCTTGCCACTACATTCTGATTCCTTCCTCTTCTGCCCCAAAGATTTCCACTTTTTTGGCCAAGTTGAGATGGAGGAGGTGGTGGAACGATGGCGAAATCCGACATGAACATTGGCCTGGGGAAGAAGTTGGAACCTTCTAATCCACAGGCAGATGTTGCTTCTGGTGTGCTCACTGTCAGGTGGCTCAGAATGGAGCCTTTCATCATGATGGGGGATGAAGGGTTTAAGTTTGAGACACTGAGCTCAGAGCTCAACATGTCTTCACTCATGGTTATTGTGTATCTGATTTCAACCATCTGCTCCACTGCTCCACCAGTGCTCACTAGTTCAACCTGTGTTCCCAAGAAAAAAACACATTTTTTAGAGTGCAAATTGCTCCATGGATTTTAACTTCTCTAAAAACCCTAGTCTGTTTTCATAGCCAAACTATATGATAATTTGAAGATATCCTTATTTCAATATTGTGTGATTCTTAGATTTCAATGTTTTTCATCCATATTATCTTTTTATCCTGTCAATATTACTTGATGGTTAAAAGGGTTCTGCCCAAATTCAGAACTTTTGGGGGGGTGAAAAGACCAAATAGTAACCAATCCATGCCATCAAAATGATTTCAGAAGTTGAGAGGCTAACCTCAATGGAGTCACCAGAATCCCCTCTAACATCACTAATAGCCCAAGTCCTCGGAGACCATGAAGTCTCACAGCCATGGCTGTTAAAGTTGAAAGCCAAAGAAACTCCCCCTTGAATCAGAACACCATCTTCTTCTCCTCTCGATGTAGAAGAAGAAGAGCCCACAGATGTCTGGAGCAGCTCCATGGTCCCGCCATGCCACATCTTAGCCTTATATGAAGTGATCAAGCCACTTGGGAGCAAGAAAGTTGCAGTGCTGCCATTCTTCAACCTCATCTTGCCCACACAGCAGGTTTCCTCAAGGGTTTGGAAACTGACTCCATGGCCACTGAATTCCTGCTCCAAGTAGTCCACATTGATTGGTTGAAACTGGCTGGTTGATTGTGAAGCCACTGTTGAAGGTTGGAGTTCCCTTCTGTTGAAGGTCGAGGAAAGAAGATGAGAAGGAGAATGAGAAGCAGGGTAAGATGAAGAGAAGTTTCTGAACGCGGAGGAGATAGGATTGGTGGGGTTGAGAGAGAGGAGTGAAGTGAAAGCCATGAGAAGAGAGAATTGGGAATGAAGGGGTCCCTTTAACTTATCTCCTTGGAGTTAACTTGAAGATAGGGGAATCAGGATATTTCCTTCTTTTTTGCCTGTGAAAATATTATGCAATTTTTTCCAATTATTCATGTTAGGGAATGAGGAATCATGAGATGAGACCATTTTGCAGCCTTATAAGCTGTCAGCCAACCAGTTTTGTAAGCCTTATCCTCTTCACTTCAGCAGCATTAAGCTCAGCTCTATGGGTGCTGATAAACTTCTGATCTTATTGTACGTACTCCATTATCGTGTCACACATCGGTTCATCCCAATAACTGCTTTTCTAACATAGTTCTTCGAACACTTACTTACCATTAGTATGAGTGATACATTGATAGTATATAATGGACAAAACATTGAATATTTACTCCAAAAATCATATCAAGGTAGCTTTTGCTTTAAA